AAAAAAAAACAGACAATATACACGAATCAACAAATTTTAGAGACCAGACATCAACCAGTACAGGAGAGTGATCCCCGAAAGATGGGAAACAAACACTGCGGGGCCTACAACTTCTTGTCTCAGCTTACTTCCTGGAGGAAGGGGGTCTCAGAGGAAACATGGTGATCCCTTTTCCCCACCCCGCCCACACACACACACACACACACACACACACACACCCAAGTTCAGGAGACAGGATGAAGGTCTAGGGAAGCCAAGATGACTAGTGCTTACAAAGGCAGAGTACTAGATAGAGAGGAGAGAGATAAGCACACAGAGAGGTCTGAATATAAAAAAGGTCTCCCTCAAGTTTTCAACTGAGTACTGATCAGCATATGCATGTGAGAAACTGCCTGAGACAGAAGGAAAAAGACACCCAAAAGGAGCAGAGCAACAATCCCTAGGCTTACACACAACTGAGGCTACTGGTGTTCCCAGCTGGGAGAGAGAAAATCTTGGAACTCACAAGGTATTTAGCAGTGCAAAATCAGCCCTAGACTAAGGGCTGCTCTCTTCTCCCTTAAGAAAGTTAAGAGCAAACCTCAAAAGACTCAAACTGTTTCCAAGTAACTGTACCAGTTACAGGAATACAAAAATATGCATCACCCCGCAAAGGTAAAATTCACAATATCTGGCACCCAATAAAAAATTACCAGGCATGCAAAGAAACAGGAGAAGAACATCCATAATGAAGAGAAAAATCAATCAAAACTAGTCCAGAAGAGATAATGATGATAAAATTAGTAGGCTGACATTAAAAGTTACTATAACTGTATTCCATGTGGTCAGAAGCTAGAACACTAAAAAGGTTAGGTAGAGAGATACAAGATAGCACAGACACCCAAACTGAACTTCTAAAGTTGAACACCATTTCTAAAATGAAGATATAACAATAGAAACTACCCAAGATAAAACAAAGAGGGTAAATATACTGAAAAAAATTATATCAGTGAACTCCTGAACCAACTTTAAACAACTTAATATACATGTAATTAGAATCCCCCAAACAGGGATGGGCTGGAGATAGAAAAAAATATCTTAAGAAATAAAGACAAGAGACAACTGGATATCCACAAGCAAAAGAAAGAAGTTGGACACTTACTTCACCCATATACAAAAATTAACTGAAAAACTCTTGGAAGAAAATGCAGACGTAAGTTTTCGTGACCCAGAATTAGGCAATGCTTTGTTAGATATGACACTAATAGCACAAGCAACAAAAGAAGTATTAGATAAACTGTACTTCATCAAAATTAAAACCTTTTGTGCCTGAACGAACACCAATAATCGAGCGAAAAAAAACCCCTAAAAACGCAGAAAATATTTGAAAATCATAAATCTGAAAGACATTTGTATCCAGAATACATAAAGAACACTTATAACTCAGTAGGAAAAAGACAAATAATCCACTTTACGCATGGGCAAAGATGGAATAGCTACTTCTCCAAAGACAATACACAAATGGCCAATGAGCACATGAGAAGATGCTCCATATCAACAGCCGCCTGGGAAATGCAAAGCAAAACCACAAGAGATACTTCTTCACCTCCACTAGGATGGCCACAGTCAAAAAGACAGATGGTAACAAGTACTAGCAAGGAGTGGAGAAAAGGGAACTCTCACATGCTGCTGGTGGAAATGTAAAGTGATGCAGCCATTGTGGAAAATAGTATGGCGGGCCCTC